CCGTGCCTCTTTTTCTTTTTTGGCAATGTAGTTGCCTCATTTACACTACTTAAATATTACTTTAATATTTACTTTCAATAAATACTTCATTTTTGGTATCTTTTTACAAATTCATTTTAGTAGATTATTCCTAGTTTATTGTTAAATACTAGTTGAGAGGTGATTTTTTAAAGGTTTTTTTAAAAAAATTCTTATTTATTTGCTAAGAAACGTTTTCTTTAAGAAAGTTTTCAGGACTTGCAAATCATATTTTTCTTGTTGGGGCTGGTGAATTGTATTGTTATTGTTAAGAAACATTCAAACATGCATTATGTGTACAGATTTTATTTATGTATTTATAAACTTTGAGGAACATTTTTGCTGTCGTTTTTTGTGGTGCTGGGGATTGAACCCAGGGTTACACTTGCTAGGCAAGTACTCTAACACTGAGATAGATCCCAGCCATTGAGGAACACTTTATGTACACTTTGTGGAAGACAGAATAGAGTATATAAAATTAAGAAGTTATTATTTCTTGGGTGTTAATACTACAAGAGACTAAAGTTAGCTAGAATCTTTAGGACTTAATGATGGGTACATCCCCACCTAGTTCTTTTGTTGAATTAAAGAGTTATGAGGAATTGTGATGTATAATTTTGTCAACTGATTTAAAGAATATAAGTAGACAATGGATGACTCAGATTTAATAGCAAACTGTGAAAGTAATATGAATGACAAAAGTTTTGGAAACATGTTATTTTTGTGCTTAGTGAAACACAGACTTTTTACCTATTCCCTACATTTTTTTTGTGGCTTACTGGTTATCTTTGTGAAATACTGTATGATTCTGTATTAAAGTAATGGTATCTAGGAGCTTCTGAAGTGGAACCAACAGTTTCTCCGTAGCTCTTCTTCAGGTTGCTGTTTTTCAGTTGTCTCCTTTTTCCCCCTTTCAACATGTTTTCTTCAAGCATTTACTATTTTTCCTTAAATATTGCTGTACCTTAATTGCTGTCTTCAGGTAATTTAAGAACTGAAGATTGTCAGAGGTGTCAGATAGCCAAGATTATTTAATTAGTAGCTTTAATTTTAGTGCTTTTGGTGCAGGGCTTTTCCCCCCCTCTTAGTCTTCAAGTATTATAACAAGTTTATGCTTCTGTTTTCAGGTTGCTAGCTCTGACTTTATGATGTTCAGTTCCTTTTTAAAAAGTTCAGAAAAATAATATAAGATTTTTAGTTTCAACTCAGTTATGTGATAAAGCTAGAGAATATTTTGTGTGTAAAATATTTTAAATACTTAATGGCTTATCAGACCAATGAATAAATAAAATGTTAGTGGGACCCATAACTTTGAGATTTTGTAACTTGTATGAGTCCAACTAGATTAGGCAAGATGTGTATTTTATTAAATGTAAGTTTTGAGTAATTGAGAAGTTCTGTTTTACGAGTAAATCTTGTTATCCTAGTTAATTCAGGCAGCCTTTGCAGTGCATATATGTTTGATCTTCAGTTTGTTTCAGAATTTGCTTTGATGACTTTATGTAATTTCTTTTCCTTGCCCATTATAATAAATATTTTTTCCTATTTTCACATGCCAGATGTAGCTTTAAAAAGACTGGTTATTTTTAAGGAGTTAGACCATTGAATTCTCTGGTTCATTTTTCTGGGCAGTAGTTAAAATTTGGCTTTCAGGTGTAAAACATTTCCTTAATATATATATATAGTAAGTGGACAACATAGGTGTTACTTTGAAGATATTTTCGTGTGAGGCACTGGGTTTGATCCTCAGTGCCACATAAAAATAAACAAAATAAAGGTATTATGTCCATCTACAACTTAAAAAAATGTGTTCTTGTGCTCCAGCACTTGACTATGTAATTTAACTCTACAGAGCCAACTCAGGGTTGCTCACATATAGTTTAGTGAAAGCATTCTCTACATCAGGATTTACAGAATCTGGGGTCTCTGAAATTATTTACAGAATTTATTTTACTTTTTTACAGTACTGGGAATTGAACCCAGGGCCACTGCTGAGCCACATCTCCAGCCCTTTTTTAGTTTGGGGGATGGTCTCACTATGTTGCTGAGGCTAACCTCAAATTTGTGATCCACCTGCTTCATCAGCCTCCCAAGTCAACTTGAAAACTAAGTGTACTTTTTTGCTATCTTGTGAAAGTATATCTTCATTGCCTCTCAACTTAGAGGTGTGTAGAAGGTGTGTGCTAATACATATTCTGTATATTGCTTGTAGTATACAGAATTTATATGAATTTGTAATGTGCATTTTCCCTGGGGACAGGGGACATAAGAGTTCATTACATTCTTAATAGGATTTGTGTTGCCTCTTTCCAAAAGTTAAGGGATATAATCATGTTTAAGAAACTATATTTATTATTATATGAATTTTATTATTATTGGATTTTAAAAAATTATAATAGCATCATTGGTCCTGTTTAAGCTTGTTATATATGATCTATGCTGAAATCACGGGCTTATTTAAGGTACTACAACTGTATTTTTTTTTTTTTACCAGGAATTGAACCTAGGGATGTTGGGCACTGAGCCACATCCCTAGCCACCTTTTTTCTTTTCTTTTCTTTTTTTGGTACCAGGGATTGAACTCAGGGGCACTCCACCATTGAGCCATAACCCCAGCCCTTTTTTCTATCTTATTTAGAGACAGGGTCTTACTGAGTTGCTTAGAGCCTTGCTTTTTGCTGAGGCTGACTTTGAACTCCTCCTGCCTCAGCTTCCTGAGCTGCCGGGATTACAGGTATGCGCCACTATGCCTGGCTCTTGTCTTGCTAAGTTGCTCATGGTCTCCCTCTGTTGAGGCTGGCTTTTAACTTGTGATTCTTCTGTATCAGCCTCTTGAGCTGCTGGCATCATAGGTGTGTCACCACACCTGGCAACTCTAGTTTTTACTTTTATTTTTAACATTGAAATATTTTATTTGTATGTATCCATGACATCCCTGGAAAAAGAATCCTATGATTTTTTTCTTTGTGTGTGTTTCATATTTCTTCTTCAGAAGATATCGTCAGAAGGAATTATCAGCTATGATTGTCAGAACAGTTAAAGCAAACTGAAGGGATGGGAACAATTGTTCTGCCATTTTTCTAGATCTTTGAATTACACATCAAACCGGAGACTGGTCACTTTGTACTTGTTTTACCTGATTGTGAAGTTCACAACAACTTTCTCAGCTCTATGATCATCAGTGATTAAAATTTACCATTGTAACTATGCTTCATCATCACAGAAACTGGATGATGACTTTGGATCAAGGCCTAATAAGAACTTGGGGTTTACATCTTTTTTTGGCCTGTAGAAGCTCTTGAGAGCATTAGCCAAGACATTCATGACAACTCTCATGATGGTGTGGAGAGTTAATGAACATTAACTCTTAGGAATGCTTATACTGAAGCACTCATAGGTAGTAAAAAAATCACTTGTTTTTTTAAATTGACTTTAAATAAAGTTGCTGATTTGCTTGAATCATTTACTTGAAATAGTTGCTTGAATTTGCTTTGAGTGTCCAACATGGTGTCTTTCACAGTGGCACACCACAATTTGATGAATGAGTTAATGTCATTATAACCAAGTGTGTACTGTTTAAAAAATCAGAAAATGATTCTGTGATATGAGCTGTGATTTACAATTGCAAGCTTTTCGTATATTGTTTAGAAAACAGGTTCAATGCTGCCATCATTAGAAAGGCAGAGAGGACAGATAATTGTTTGGGGGGGAAATGTTCTATTTACGAGACAGAATATTGAGAGAAACAATAGCTAAAGCTCGAGGTTTGGTGGACAGTTGTCCAGGGAAACCAAAGCAGAATATTTTGAGAAACATCCCTCTGTAGAAAAGAAGCTGTAGCATCACTCTTATCAATTTGCAAGCAGATACTTTTCACTGGCTCCTGTATTTTGCTGTGGCATTGGGTCAAATAAGTGAGTTACAGTTAAACAAGGACCAAAAATATCAAGGCACAAATCATTGAAACCTAAGGGTGTTTTTTATTATCTTGTAAAAATATTTTATTGCCTCTCAGTAAAAATGATTTGTAGGTCAGAAACTGTGTTTCCTTATCACCATCTGTGCTAGCTGGTGACCTAATGCTGGGTTCACAGCATAACTGAAGAAAACGACAAAGAAAACATAAAATACACAGAGGTACCTTTTCAAATCTGTGACGGCTCTCTGACTTTAAGGGTCCATTGAAAGAGAGCTCCACTGGAATTCTTTATTCTTATATAGGGGACACATAAGGAGAGGATCTATGGAACATTTGCCCAAAAAGGGCAAAGGGGTAGGATTATAAAGAAAAGGTGAGTGTAACTCAACCCCTGTAGGTGACGACTCTGAGCTGGGGTAATGCCCAAGTTACTGGGACCTGGCACTACTGTGTCAGACTGAAGGCAATAATTGTTCAGAACCCTGGTGCATCAGGACTTAAAAGCTTCTGTATCCAGGTCAGCTCCTGACATTGCCTCTTAAGTTCTGGGGAAAGAAATAGATTTGAAAGTAAACAGAATCTTTGCCAGTTGGTCCACCAGAATGCCTTACTTTCATTGATCAATTTTTTTATGGGTTTGCGTTATCTTCCTTGACTACATTGTGAAGTTTTTGTTTTGTTTAAGGTTCTGGGGATTGAATCCCCAGGGCATTATTTTTTAGTTTTAGGCATGGTCTCACCAAGTTGCCCAGGCTAGCCTCGAACTTGTGATCTCCTTGTCTTAGCCTCCTGAGTAGCTGGTATTGTGGGTGTGTGCCATCACACCTGGCCATTGTAAAGTTATGCTTTTTATAATATCTACACTGGAAACTGAGATAATACCATCTTGATTCGGTGTCTTGAGCTCTGTGTTTAATGACTAATGACCTACATTTATAGCAAGGTGTTAAAAAATCATTGTGTTGCTTTCATCTTGCCTGGAGTCTGTTGGTTAGTAGGTATACTTCTTGTTCTGCTGATGGTTGGCTTAGAAGAAAATTATGATCTCATCATAATTCAAATGACTTTTTCCACAACATTGGAATTTTTCAGGTGGTGTTCTTTGAGAATATGCTCTAAATGTTTTGGATTTGAATATGCATTATTTATATTTTTTAAAGACATTGTATTTATCATAAGTTATAACCATGTTTATTGAAGAGGTTTTGGAAAATATGAGACTATAAAGGAAAAATTAAAGTCACCTATAATTCTCCTTGCTTTTTCGGAAAAGGCACTGGCTCAACTTGAGAACTCATGAGTTAGCAAGGAATATGTATCAAGGCTTAGTAGTTAGCAGTTTTTATTAATACAGCAATCTTTGCTCCCTGCCTTTTCCCCTGATATCAGAGAGACTTTTATCATGATTTTCTGAATTAGTGTCTTCTGAGAAATGAGTTGGTTGGTTAATGTAGTTTGTCTCTCCAAGTATATATTTTTCAGATGTGGCTTTCTAATGTTGCAGCTTTATTTTTTTTATGTTAGTTTAACAGATGAAGAGTCCCGAAAAAATTGGGAAGAATTTGGAAATCCAGATGGGCCTCAAGGTGCAGTATATAATCATTGTAAAATGTTGGTTATATAGTATATATTATGAAAATGTATATATTGAAAGGAGCATTTTGATTTTCTTAGTTTATGAATAGGAAAATTATAATAGTTAACATGCAAGTTGGGTTTCCTTTTACTTTTAATTTTCTTTTTGAAGACTAGTTTGAAAACTTTGAGAGAGAGGAGCAGTAACTGTCATTGTTCTTTCCAGTAGATAAAAATTAGGTGAAAAAAATATTTTTTGTAAACTAATAACAGACTTTCTCATATTCATAGTGTTTATATAGACTTGACATATAAAAGAATTTAGTTTTTTTTAGGAAGAAAGTTGTGTATGTAAATACTTTTTTCTTGTTTTTGAAAAACTTGTACTTAAATAGGGTTGTTTTTTTTCTTTTTGAAAAATTTGAACTTTTAGATATATAGTATCCCTTAACTTTTGTCTAATGATGCCCATATAATGTAATCTCTCTAGGTATTTTTAGGAAGGGGAAAGAATGTAGAATTTTGAGATACAAAAAATGAAAATAAAAGTAGAGATTCTTCAGAAACTATGATATTCTTCCTATTTCAGCCACAAGCTTTGGAATTGCCCTGCCAGCTTGGATAGTTGACCAGAAAAATTCAATTTTGGTGAGTACGTTTAGATAAGACATATCATGATGTGTTTGTGGTAATTTTTGTTATATACTATGTGTTTTGGTATAATCTAAAGAACTTTTACAAAGAAAATACTGGTATAACTTTTTAAATTTAACTTGAATATATTCCATATTTTACAAAATGGAGAAAACAATTGGTTCCTATTATTGGGCTGCTGGTTTGAGGTAGTATGTTCTAAAGTTTATTTTCTTTCAAAAGTATTTTCAGATCAGGTTCTAGTTTTGGTTTGGAGAACACTGGTTTTTATGATACACATTTAAGGACTACTCAAAATTGAAATCTTTTTTTCCAAAAACTTTATTCAGGCTAAACTAATTTTAATGTATGTTAAGTTAAACAATATGTATTCCATATGGTACTTCAGAAGGCAGTAGGACATCAGGCTTGAATCAGTGAGAGTTGGTATATACCTAAAACTTTGGGAATTATTTTACCTATTGTTCAAGAATAGATGATTCCTTACTACAACTTTCTTGAAAATAATTGTCTAGGAGCTACTTCTGAATGCATTTGTTTTGCAAATGGCCATTTTATGACATATTGAAATTGTTTGTAGGGGTAGATAGTTGCTGCATATAAGTGTTTGTCATGCTTAGGGTTACTTTGTGGGAATAGGAGGTAAGTAAGGAAGCTACAAGATTTAGGATCAAGCAGTAGGGGGAAAATTCAGTAGATGTTTATTAGCAAACAGAAAATTTTGAAGTGTATCTTGATGGGCAGTTTTTCAGGGGCTTCTATTGTCATTTATTTCCAGGGCACTAACTGCTTGTAAGGTGTGGGTATATGGAATACTTGACTGGAAGGAAAACAATTTATAAAGACATTTTGACATTTCTGTATTTTGTCAGTAAATAATAAATCAAAAGATAATTTATTATGGTGGATAAGAGCATAAGCTCTATAGATTACTAGATCCGCCACTAGCTGTGCCTAGGACCAGCTATATAACCTTTGTGTACTGGATATACCCATCAATAAGAGAAAAACAATAGTGATTCCTTTCTCATAGAGTATGATAATAAGGATTAAATGAGATAATACATGAAGAGTACTTTTAACAATGCTTTTGTATTATAAACCTCAAAAGAAATGTTCATGAATATTGTTATAATTTATCTGGTAAAGGTCATAATTTTTTCATTTCTAGGTTTTACTTGTATATGGATTGGCATTTATGGTTATCCTTCCAGTTGTTGTGGTAAGTTCTAGCCCTTTTTATTAACATTTCTTTTTCTTTTTTTGGAAGGCATTTTTTGGAGTCTCCCTATAATATTTTAATTTGTATTAAAGTGTACTTCATTAATCCTTGAACTTAAGAATTTTTGCTTAGCTTACGTTTAAAGATCTTCTAACGGTGAAATTGCTTGAGTTACTTAAGCGCCTGTCTTTGTAATCCATAAGTAAAACATACCTGAGGTAATACAGGTATATTTAGAGTTTAAAATGAAAGTTTATTTTCATTTGTCCCCAACTTTATTTCTGTCAAGAATAATTACTCTAACTTTGTTTCCTCTTTCAAATTTTATGTGCACTTTTTTTTTTAATCTTTTATATAATTTTACTGTATGTATTGTTCCTGTGACCTTTTTTGTTTTACATTTGGGGCACAGCATATAAAGCAGCCTCATTTAAAAAAACATAATAACTGCATAGTACCATAATATGGAGATATACCATAAAGTTTTAAGACTTTTACCATATACCATAAAGTTTTTTTACTTTTTTTTTTTTAAGAGAGAGTGAGAGAAGGGAGAGAGAGAGAGAGAGAGAGAGAGAGAATTTTTAATATTTTTTAGTTCTCGGCGGACATAACATCTTTGTTGGTATGTGGTGCTGAGGATCGAACCCGGGCCGCACGCATGCCAGGCGAGCGCACTACCGCTTGAGCCACATCCCCAGCCCCAAGTTTTTTTACTTTTACATATACCATAAAGTTTTTTTACTTTTGCTTTTGTGACTTGTGTTCTTTCTGATCCTGGAGTTCATCTGGGTCCTAAAGTGAGGCTAGTAATTAACATTTTGTGTGAGAGCCAATCATATGAATTACTATGAATGAGAGTATCATGTCAATTGTGAAATCATTTATTGAAAAAATTTTAAACATGTGCTGTTCATTGGGAACTAACATACTGTTTTTGGCTGTGAGTGGTCTTTTTCCTGTTTTGTTTTTAATTTTTTTCCTAAAACTAAGTTCTTTAAACATACACATAGTAATTTACATCTGTATTTAGGCTTTTGGCAATAGAAGTATTTGTTCTAAAGATCAAGTGCTTTTATTAATTATGAGTATTTTATGTTGAATTGAAATATAAAGATTTGTCATGAACATATTTTGCATCAAACTTAACATTTATTAATGTTGTCTTGCTTTATTGTTTTTTTGTTTGTGTTATAGGGTTCTTGGTGGTATCGTTCAATACGGTATAGTGGAGACCAGATTCTAATACGCACAACACAGATTTATACATACTTTGTTTATAAAACCCGAAATATGGATATGAAACGTAAGTCAAATTAAATAACTGAAATTAGTTATATTACGTTCTGATTAATTTATGTGGAGTTGATATATATTCTTTAACTCTGTATTGGAGAAATTGCATTTTATAGTTTCTTAGCTAATCAGTTCATATAACTGAAGCCAGAGGAAAGTGCTATTTACCCTTTATCACATTTTTTGACTTGTATTTATATTATTTCCAGTATTTATATATTTTATCAGAGATTTTATGATAAAACTTTATATGTTTGCATTCTCTAACATTACTAGCCAACATTTTTTTGTAGTTTGTCTCAGGTACTATTAAGGACTGTCCATTTATTACCTCAGTTAATCTGTATTGTGCCCCCATCAGTAAATGCTGTTTTTAAGCATGTTTTTTAATGAGGACTGCAGCACAGAAACGTTAGCATGTCCAAGGATACACAGTGACAGTACTAGGGTTGAGCCAAAGGCAATTTGGTCCCTGAGCCTTCAAGCACTTCATTAAACCATATTAAATGAGTAAAAATAGATGTCTTAGGTGTGTTGAAAGAAAACTGTCAGAATATTTTGTTCTCAGGGTCTTATTTAAATTCCTTCTTGGGGAAGAAAAACGCATCATACTGAATACTTTCTTTGATCCATAAAACACACTTTCTAAAGTTCATACCACTGGAGAATGCAATTTTGTTCCAGAACTGAAATGGACTTCTTTGTATTTGGGATTTGCCAATTTTACTAATTTTCTTATTTTTTAGTTGTCATTGGACACATACCTTTATTTATTTATTTCTATGTGGTGCTGAGGATTGAACTCAGGGCCTTGTTTTTGTGCTAGGTGAGCACTCTGTTGCTGAGCCACACCATAGCACCACTAATTTTCTTGATAATGAGAAAAAGATTCCTCAAGATCATACGATAGTGTGCACACAATAATTTTTTTAGAATTGAGTAGATGTTACTTTTTCTTGTGCATATATATTATTCTTATGTTATATTGAAATATTGCTATAAAATCTTTCCTTA